TTTCAATGGCTACAATTGTCCCGAATTAATACTCTCCCTCCACCCCCAAGCTCTAGGCCGGGTTGGCCTGGAACCTGCTAGTCTTGGAGACTGACGTCTAACTCCTGCCTCAGCCTCCTTAGTGCTGGGATTACAGGTGTGTGCTGCCGGCCAGGCCTTCGGAACTCCTTGAAGTTCAGGGATTTACAAATCCACTATTTCTTTATGCCAGTTCTTGCATTCTCACACCCCATGAGTCTTGCTCTCCTCCCATGTAGATGCTTTAGGATGCTGCAGCAAAAGAGGGATTCCACCGTCTTCCCTGCCTTTGAGAAGACATTGCCTTCAAAGTGTAGCACCACTGGCTCAGGCCACCTCTCAGCGTCAAAGTTCAAAATGCAGAGGAGCACCTAGGGTTTTAACCGCTAGAATTTTTCAGGCCAATACTATATGGGACTACACTGTTCAATCCACCATCTTATATAACGCTTTTAGCTGCCTAGTGACACAAAGTCATTAAACCCTTTTTTATCTAATAAAGTGTGCCTTGGAGTCAGAAAGAGACTTAGCAGATGATTAATTAGGAGGCGGGAAATTGGAGGCGCACCCCTAGGCCGTTCCCGCATGAGGCTGTGATCATTCTGTGTTTCTGTCTTCTCCTGAAATTCCTTTTAAAGATCTAATAATGGAGATTAGCTGTGGCGGCACTTCTTTTTGGCGTAACTATACAGTGGACTTGACCGCATTCTTATCCTCACATAAGTGGACCTTTGCATGGCTTTCCTTCTGCCCACGGAATAGCTCAAAAGCAGAGGCTCCCAGGACCCAGCTGTACCTCTGGGCTTTCATACTCTGGCGGCCTTAATCACTGAAGTCCCTAAACAGACAATGGGATGATGGACCAGGGGATCATTTCTGTCATCCTTTGATGACTGATGATGACCCAAGGAATTGCTGAAGAGTTAAAAATAATAATAATAATAACATCCCCAGAATTTAAGATTCTGGTGTGTGTAGAGAGATCTACGTGCCAATAGCACACAGAAATATTAAGCTACACAAAATAGGGATGTCTTATGATATTTTATTGAGAGAGAAATCACTTATGTGAGAAGCCAAGAAAGTCGAGAACCAAAGGTCTGAACATTGCTCTCCAGGAGAGAGAGTCTCCTCCCCCTAGCTCTTTTATCCACCCCAGAACATTCTATGTACCTGTGACCACACCCAAATAGGTGTGGTCAGCACTATGGGTATGTAGATCTTTCCCTACAGGTGTGGATTTAACACTTAGGGTTCTCCTTCCTCTCTTACAAGCTTAACTCTGCAGTAGGGTATATCCTGGCCATGGGATCAAAAGCCAAGATCATCAAACATGAACTAATATTATTTTTCTTTGATTTAAGGGGCCAGAAACAGAGCTCACCAATCTCTCTACCCCTATCAGCTTATGGTCTCATCACCCAGCAAGAGGGAGCCCAGCAAGCTGTCCAAGGACCAATTTGTTTCTTAGAAGAGTCCCAGTGCACACAAGAAGGAGGCAATTAGGCCTCCCCTGGGCATCCCTAGACAAACTTCTAAAGACTTTACTTTGGCAGCAGAGACCAGAAACCTTTCAAACAGAATCATCCGAGCCTCTGTAATGTGGCTTGTTGAGTTAAGGCCAAGTTAATATTTAAGGGACTACAGAACGCTGTCAGAGCAGCCTCTAAATTACATCTGGAGTTAAAAGTGACAAATGGAAACGAAATAGTGACCCTCCCCCTGCAAGAGACCAGCCCATTTGTCTCCCATCCCAGAAAAACACCCACAGGATGAGTGGCCTGCAAGCTCCTTGCTCATGTTCATGCTTATGTATTTCCTGCTTTTGAAGGAAGGTGGTGGTGTTGTGGGGGCTTTCTGTCTGGGAAGGGGCTTTCTTTTTGAAAACGAACATTTTTCTCTCCCTCTTTTTATATTTTAAAAGAAAGAGGAAGTTAAAGAGTGAGGAATGATATTTTAAGCTCAGTCCTTTCAGCTACTCTTTCCTGGCCTTCTAACTTGTTAGAATCAAAACCTGCCTAGCTCCCTGGTGAAATTGGGCATGTCCAGGAAGAATGGTGGCCAGTAACAAAAAAAAGTTTCCTTTAACCATCTTAAGGCATTGGTAGAGTCATGGCCAGTCATTACCCTCCGACCACTACCCCTTAACTCCTGTGCACTCCAAGCCTGAAAATCCCCAAACCAGGGAAATCGTGTGTAGTGAAAAGCCTGTGTGGCCCCAACTCAACCCGTTGACAGTATGCATCAGCCACATGTCTGGAGACCATTTCTTCAGTCAGAGATTTTATCATTGATTCCTGACTCTCACTCAGTCCCTTCTACAGTCTTTGCTGCACCCCCCCCCCAGCTAGGCGACAAGATATACAATTGCAGAAGTAGGGGGCTTTTGCTCCCACTATTACATTCTGTCACTCTTTGCACTTCACATTGAGCAGATAACACTATGCTTCTCTCCACTGGGATGAGTCAGTAGAAGCTGCCCGTGCCTCCGGGATATCTGGTCGACCTGAGGTGATGTGGGCAGCCTGACTTCAGACCCCAGGCATCTCCAGTTCTCTTACTCCACAAGCCTTCTAGGTTGCTATGTGTGCCCTCCCTGCATGCTAAGACATGAGGAAGCAAAGCAATGTTGCCAAGTGGCCAGGTAGCCAGGTATAATTTTTTAAATGTACAGAATATGGAGTTGAATTTCAGATTTAAAAAATAGGGGTTTTTACTATAATAATTTTAATATAATGAAACACATCTTAGTAATAATGGACTAAAACATAGATGAGTACTACTACTAATAAAATACATGCATGTATAGATAAATGTCATAAAACATTAAAAATAATACTTTCTTTTATAATAAATATGAATATTTAATGTGCTCAATATTTTAATAATAAATACACTTAAAATATTTGGTGTTTATTTGAAATTTTTATTTGAAATGATGTTTTGTGTTTTACTGGCAACCCTGCCCCAGAGGTATATGATATGTGCCTCTTGGGGTTAGCGGGCATCTAAGGATAATTTGTAGTTAGAAGTCTTAGCCTTTTAGACTCTCCAGCCTAAAGTCTCCTTTGGTGATTATTGAACCTTGGGAAGAGGTGTGTGTGTGTGTGTGTGTGTGTGTGTGTGTGTGTGTGTAAACCCTCTGACTTTGTTCTCAACTTATCCATTACTATTGTCCTGGGACTGTATGCTGGAAACCGACAATGAAGCATGGAGAGCTGTGCAGACTGATGCTGACTCCAGGCAGTTAGTACTGGAAGTGTATAGAACCGTAGGAAACCCAGTTGGTGATGGAGAATTAGTTTGTATGAGAAAAGGATACATAGTTTATATCAGAAGTGTGGAAACCAAAAACAGCTTGTTTTACCCTGGTGAGTGTATAAATTAATAGAAACGTATTTTAGCCGATAATTATTGTTAAGTAATGCAAACTAAAGTAATTCAAGATGGAGAGATGGCTCAGTAGTTAAAGGAATGGGCTGTTCTTGCAGAGGACCAAGACTCAAACCCCAGCACCTACATAGTGGCTCACAACTGCCTGTAACTCCAGTTCCAGGGGATCCAGTACCCTCTTCTGACTGTTCTGGGCTCCTGCACATGTGTGGTACAAATACATACACTGGGGCACAAACACACACACATGAAATAAGTAAATGTTTTAAAAGATTAAAGTAACCATATGTCATCTGAATAGTAGAGTGCAGATAAGAGATGGAAATGCATTCTGTCTTCCGGCTGTCATCACCTTCCAGCTTGGTGAGAGTCACAGAGAAGTTCTCTTCTATGGCTTGTCTGCCGCTCTCTGCCTCTCTAAATCCTATCTTGTAGGGAGATACCAGGCACCTGCAGCTGACCACGCCCCCTCGGGCGTGGTCACGGGTATGTGGGAAGATTGAGGGGATAAGAGATGGTAGAGGAGGGGCACTCTCTCTCTTGTATTCCGGTAGTGGTCGGAGACCATAGAGCACTGACCCGGCTTGTGATATAAGTGACTGCTCTCTCCAAATAAATATCATAGACTCCCCTTTCCCAACATTCGTTGTGCGGGTCTGTTCCATCTTCACCGTCTAGGGAACTGTTGGCTCTCAGAGGGCCTCAAATAATACCACATTTTGACTTCTGCCTCAAAAGAAAAAGTTTAATATCCACAAAGTATCTCATAAACTCCTATAAAAATATATTTAGAAAAATGGCTCAGCAATGAACATCCCTTGATGCTTTCCTAGAGGACCTAAGTTAGGTTCCCACAAACCTCCTATACTTCCTTCTGGCCTCCACAGGCACTCATACATACATACATGCACATATCCATATAAATAAAATGCAAATAAATCTTTCTCCCATATCTTAAAAGTGAGAAGACAGGACTGGGGAGATGGCTTGGTGTTTAAGAGCTTTTGTTGCTCTTCCAGGGGGGGGATCCTGAGCACATTTCCTAGCAACCCTCTATAATGGGCCCGATGCCCTATTCTGGCATGCAGACATACATGAAGACAGAATACACATGTGTGTAAAATACATAAATAAATTTGAGAAGACACACTTTACTCTGAAAGGGAAGGACTTACAGTGACTTCCCTAAAATGAGCAAAGCCATGAGTTTGCAGAAACTGATGACTTCTGTTAGCGAATATATCAGCAGCTGTAAATGTTCTACCAAGTGTGTGTGCTTTTTTGGTCACACTTTTAGAGTTTCTAAAGAAGAACATGATAAGTGCAAGCACAAACTGCTTTGTTCTCCAAGCTCCTGAAAAGCATTTCTTATACAGAGTTGGCATGACCACCAGTGTTCCTAATTTCTGGCAAAATGACCCGTAGAGAAGAAATATCAAAGCTCTGTGTCTAAATAGTCAAAAAAGGTTTTCTACACAACTAGTCAGAAAATTATACAGCAGAGTTTTCATTTCCACATGAAGGGTGGTGGAATAAAGTCTCTCCAAAGGTATGGGTGACAAGCAGCTCATGGTCTCTGTTCTTTTCAGGAGAAAAACTAGCACTGAAGTTGGTGTTCCTGAGAAAGTGGAAGGAGCCAAGACCAGGGAACCTGAAAGTGAAGACCATGAAAAACTCCAAGTTAAAATCCAAGCCTTTGAAGACAAAATAAATTCTGAGAGCAATACCCCTGCTTCTGTCCTGAGATACAGCTTAAACCATGTCTCTAAGGAAGAACAAAGAAACATTAGATTTAGCAGGTATAATTTTTTCAGAAATCATTTTGAAGTATGAATTTATATTTGCTATTGCTCCTCTTGTCATGGTGCTTTGGGGTGTTTTGTGTTTCACTGTCTCCTTTTTAACCCATGGCTTCCCAGAGTTCTATCCTATAATGATTTAAATTTTACCCATCATGCTCTCATTATTCAAGCAACCTTACTTAGGTTACTTAGGGCAGTGGTTCTCAGCCTTCCTAATGCTGTGACCCTTTAGTATAGCTCCTCATGTTGTGGTAACCCCCAATCACAAATCATTTTCGTTGTTACTTCATAACTAATTTTGCTACTGTTGTGAATTTTAATGTAAATATCTTATATGTGACCCCAAAGGGTTGAGAATATAAATAGAAGGCAAACATCTGATTCTATTTTTTAGAATACTTTTTGAAAATAAGCATGCTAATTTTGAGAATGGCTACCAGTTGCATCCCTTACTCTAGTGAATAATAAGAGGCAAAACCAAGAAAATAAAATTTCTATGTCCACCATTTTACAACCTCCTTTGTTATGAAACTGACTTAAATCTTCTTTTGGAGGTACTTAAGCATTCTCTTCTTTCTTCTTGGTGGGGCTGAGGATAAAACGCAGAGCCTTATGCATGTCAAGCATGTACTATGCCACTGAACAGCAACACCTGCCCTATATTTTCAAAGTGTTAATTCATCACACAGCTTGGTGATCCTCATGTTATCTGGTCTATTAACAGTGTCTCACCCTACAGGGAAGTAAAGTTTTGTTCCAGTGTGACTGTTTTTTCCTTGCCAGGGATCAAGAGCATCCTCAATTCTTCTAACTTTCATTATAGGTCAAGGAGTCTGGCTTTGAATGCTGTGCTCACATCTGGTGTGAGAGAAGATGGGGAGGCTGAAGAAAGGGCAGGAATGCATGCCAGCATCTCTCTTTCAGAAATAGACCCACTTATCCATGGAATTGGCAAGTTGCCTCTCAAGATAGATGCCCATGGACCACAGCTGAGAAATTCCTCAGCCTCACACCCAAGTGTTATACATATAGAACCAGAGAATATGCCTGAAACTGTTAAAGAAAGCATCCGGGAAGAAATTCCAGAGACAGCCGCAAGTCCTGTTGAATACCAAGATAAGCTCTACTTGCATTTAAAGGAAAACTTCAGTAAAGTGAAGGCTTATGCCATGGAAATCACAAAGAAGATCCCAGTCCCAGACCAGTGCACCATTGAAGGTAAGTTCTTTGAACTTCCTACACTCAAAATTTCAGATGTTAGTGACAAAGACAAAACTCAAAACACCTAAATATGCCTATCCTTTTATGGGCCTTTTGCAAAATAGATCATTTGAAAATAATCTTCTAGTATCCTTGTTTCTTCTCTTTCAGCAAAGTTGACCCATCTGTTGACTTCTATCTTTTTGAGTCTACTTAGATGCTTCTGAGTCTCCTGAGTTTTGCAAACCTTTGTATTGTTTTGTTTCTCCTTCCCAGTGTACCAAAAGGGAAATACAGTGGCCTTGAAGCAGGCTCCAGGGTCAGGGCATCCAGACAATGCTTCCAGCCATGTAATCAAACAGAGAAGCCATGCATCTCACTTGTTAGGGTTACAAAAACATCACTTTTGTGTGCTTCAACCTGACACTTCAATAATAGATCATGATAAAAGAATAGGAGGATCATTGAAACTGCAGAAATCAGTATGAGATGACTCAAGGTCGCAAGTAGCATTTTTAACCCTGACCTTGGTCACACTGGGGTCCAACTACAATGGGCAAGCGAATCTATATAAATCTAACATCGTCTCTGAAAAGAAACATGCCAAAGCCCAGGTTACTGTGACTGGATCATTTTTGAGTCACAACATTCTTGTTATTGGATGAACCAGTCTCTGATGATTCTTCATGGCCTTATTTCTGCTTACCGGTCACTGAAAGTTGTGCATCTGTAGGCAAAGGTAACCTAATGTCACTGGTTGATTATGTTTTCATAAAAGAACAGAAAAACTGGATTCGTTCAGCTAAGGATATTTTACAAGTTTGAATCATTGTTATTCATTAATGTGAGCAAAATAATTGGAGGCCAAAAGCGTATACAGAGATAATACTAACTAAATCTTCATTCTGAAGGTGACTGGTCTGCTGCTCACCATTGTTTGGGGTACCCTATGTAGTGTTCGGGGTATGTAGGGTGATTTCAGTCTCTTGCAGTAAAGATGTCTATTAATCTGACCTGTTACCTATGGTATCCAAGGAAGCTACAGGTGTGGATGCCATTGGGGGTCAAAAAATAAATAAATAAAGACACTGTAGACAGTGGCATTTGAGAAAATGAAGGTCATGGGTACAAAGGAAGGCAGAGATCAGAGGTATCTGGCTTTCATACTGCTTTTAGTTACTTTGTGGGCTCCAGTACCTAGTATAATAACCTTAATGAAGGTGATTGGGTGAGGAGACTGCTTACTGGTTTTGCAGTGTGTGTGTGTGTGTGTGTGTGTGTGTGTGTGTGTGTGCACACACATAAGTGCAGGTATCCATGGAAGACTGTAATGTGTATTCTTCCCACCAGCTGCCTGGGTCCTGCCGCTGTCTCAGCCCCCAAATAACACACGAGATGCTATATTAATTACGAAGCTGTTGGTCGTTTGCTATGTTTTCTTAACAGCTAGCTCTGACTTAATTATTAACCCATAATTACTAATATATATTTTTATAAGGTCTTACCGAGAACACCAGGTTTGCGCTCTCTCCTGTGGGGATCACATGGTGACTCTCCACTCTTGACTACATTTCCCAGAATCCTCCTGGATACCTAGTCCCACCTATCTTGCTTCCCTATTGGCCAACAGTGCTTTATTCATCAACCAGTAAGACAACATACACACAGAAGGACATTCCCCCATCAGAAGACAGAGACATCAGATTCCCCCCTGGAGCTAGAGTTACAGACAGTTGGTGCTGGGAATCAAATGTGGATCCACTGTAAGAGTGGTGCATGCCCTTATAACTATGGAGCCGTGTCTCAAGCCCTATGATTTCAGTTTTCACAGAACACCAAATCAGATCAAACTCAGCAATCCCTGTTCCCCCAAATAGACTAGAGAAGGCAGGAAATAAAAGAAGCCGTGACTCTCCTGAATGGAAAGCTTGTGGTGTCAAAATGTTCCTGTCGGTGATGGCAGCTCAGGCTCCAGCAGATCATGAAGGTACCAGAATACCCTGGACCCTCTTTTAAGGCAATCCACAGCCAGCCTTTGCTGTGGACCCTTGGATTTATACTACATGATCCTTAAGTTGGGGGAAACATCAACTCATCAAGCCAGAGAGGAATGAGGTAGTGGACATTCTCCATGTGAGAACTGCAGAGAGCTCTCACAGCCTCACTCACAATAAGGGCCCCTGGTTCATGTAGACAAATAAAAACCTTAAAACAGAAATAAAGTTAAAAATAGAACTGCCCATGTGACCCCCGTTATATCACTCCTGGGTTTCTACTCAAAGGACTTCATATCAAACCACAGAGATACCTACACATCCATATTCATTGCTGCTCTATTCACAGCAGTGAGGGAGAGCAGCCAGCCCAGATGTCCATCCACAGATGAATGGATAATGAAAATGTGGCACACCTGTGTGCATAATTCAATTTTATTTAGTCGTAAAGGAAAAACAGAAATCATAAAATATGCAGGGAAATGAGCAGAACTGGGAAGAATTATATTGTGAGGTAACTCTGACTTGAAAGTGTAGAATCATATATCCCTTGTCCTATGTGGACCCTAGTTTATGTTTTTATGTATGTGTACAAATGAAAATCAATGCAGTGTAGGATTATGATACCAGAAAGGAGACCACCATGGGGGTGACAGGACATGTAAGACGTGAAAGTGAGGAAAAGAACATTATGGGGTGTGGAGAGACACAGGGGACTCAGAGAGCAGGAGGGGGATAATAGAGAAAGAGAACAATGTCAATTTTTATTTGCAATGAAACCTAATGCTGTGTGTATGCTAATTAAAAATAAGATGTATTTTAGCTGGGCAGTGGTAGTGCACAACTTTAATCCAGCACTCAGGAAGCAGATCTCTGTGAGTTCGAGGCCAGCCTGGTCTACAGAGCAAGTTGTAGGACAGCCAGAGCTACAAAAGGAAACTCTGTCTTGGGTGGGTGGGGTTGCTTTATAAAAGAAATAAAACTAAGTCTATCAGCTTCTGCTCCCCTCCTTGCTGCCATTCTGTCCTTAGCCTGTAGCATAGACCTGTGATTACTGGATCTGTCTGGTTTCAGCTGCTTTCTGCCACTGTGGCATCTGAAAGCTGGGGAGTCTTTTGCATGAAGGCTAGAACACAGCCTATGCTGTCACCAGAGACAGTTTTCAGTGTTCTACTCTGCAAGATGCCAAAAGACATTAGCAGTCACCTGGCCTGACTTGACTTGGAGTCATCCAGCAGAGACATGGGTTACATGAATTTAAAAATAAAGGGTGGGGGGTGCTAAGGAAGAGGAGAGTGAATAAGAAAGAGATCCAGGCCAGCAGGTCTGAAGCACTCATTAAGGGCTGCATGACTAGGACCCAGACCCTCTTTCCCCTCACATGGTCCATTGTAAGTCATTTTCCAGGGTCCATCTCGGGGCCCTGATCCAGAGCCCCTTGTGCCCATGTGTTGTAGGCTTATTAGTAGCAAAACCATTATCGGTTGATGGTACATGGTGAATAGTAATTAAATAAAATAATAAATTAAATAACTTTTTTCCTATTTTTTTCTTCTTTCCTTGTGTAGCTCTGTCTGTCTTGGAACTCATTCTATAGGTCAGGCTGGTCTTGAACTCACAGAGATGTACCTGACTCTGCTTCCCAGGGTGCTGGGATTAAAGGTGTGTGCCACAACATCCTGGCTGGAACGACTTTTTGTTTACTACTGATGGCAAGTCTTTAGTGTTGCTGTTGCTGTCCTAGTTTTTACTTGACAAAAGAGACTCAGAAAGTCAATCTACCCACCCCCAAGATCATGTAACCTGTAGGTGGCACAGTTAGGACGTGATCCTGACTCATAGCTATGCCCCTGCCTCTTGCTCCCACACTTTTTCTCAGACATGTGTTCTCACCCCTGCCCTGATGTCTGTGTCCAGGCTGTTGATCCTTGAGAGTCCTTAGTTCTAACACCCCTGCCTTCAGTGATGCCCACATGTGTATTTTGATCCCTGTCCCAATGCCGGTGTCCAGGATGTGGCACCTTTAGGGCCCTCAGCTTCAATCATCAAGGCTAACTCCTCTGCTGTTGGTGATTCCTAGGACTCTTGATTTCATGTTTCATGTTAAAGTTTACATTGTTCATTTTTTATATCCCTATGCTTCAAATATACACATTTTTGCATTTTTATTTAAATTAGCAACAAGCTTGCTTCACATGTCAATCCCAGCTCCTTCTCCCTCTCCTCTTCCCCCACCACCCACCAAACCTCCAACCCCCACCCAATGCCCACTCAGCTCCCCAGGGAGGGAGGCCCTTCATGGGGGATCCCCAAAGTCTGTCATATCATCTAGGGCAGGGCTTAGGCCCTCCCCCATGTGTCCTGGCTGAGAGACAATCCTTCCATGTGGAATGTGCTCCCAAAATCCACCCACATGTCCAGGATAAATACTGATCTACTACCCAAGACCCCATAGATTTCCAAGGCCTCTTCACTGACACCCAAATTTAGGGATTCTGGATAAGTCCTATGCTTGCCTCTCAGCAATCAGTCTGAAGTCCATGAGCTCCCCCTTGTTCAGGTCAGCTGTTTCTGTGGGTTTCACCAGCCTGGTCTTGACTCCTTTATTTATCATCCCTCCTTCTCTGCAATTGGGTTCCAGGAGTTCAGTTCAGTGTTTAGCTGTGGGTATCTGCCTCTGCCTCCATCAGCCACTGGATGAAGGCTCATGTTTGTCTTTTTGTGACTGAGTTACCTCACTCTGAATGGTCTAGTGCCATCCATTTGCCTGCAAATTTCAAGATTCCTTTGCTTTTTTTCCCCGCTGAGTAGTACTCCATTGTATAAATGTACCACATTTTCTCTATCCACTCTTCAGTTGAGGGGCATCTAGGTTGCTTCCAGGTTCTGGATATTACAAATAATGCTGCTATGAACATAGTGGAACAAACATCCTTGTTGTATGAATGTGCATCTTTTGGGTATATGTCTAAGAGTGGAATTGCTGGATCTTGTGGTAGACTGAGTCCCATTTTCCTGAGGAAT